CCGGGTCGTCTGAAACTTTGGGTATGACCCGAGAGCATAGCGTAGTAGCTTGCTCGGCCACCGCCGCTTTGGCTCAAGGCGGCGGCGCCCCATCTGGCAGCGTCGCCTGCGGCGTTTGATTTGTAACGGTGACGGGGTAAGAAAAAGGCGGGGGTGTAGAGGCTTCTCACGCGGGGGGTAGAGGCTTCTCGTTCCTCTCATTGCGACCGCTGTCGTACACCTTACCTGTTTTACAAGTGTTTTCTCGATGCGCGATGGCACTTTCATGTTCGACTTGCGCGCGGAGTTGTCGCAGTTGCGGCATATGTGTTCTCCTCCGCTACCGGCGTGATGACGTACAACAGCTTCTACGCCTACCGCCAGCGCAGCGAAGGTGACCTGCATGACTACAAGGGCATGGTGGACACTTCCTTAGACTCCCACCTCATCGGTACCTACCGCTACGCAACCACTGCGCCCCCTCCGACATACACCCGGGTTGTACGCGCGCGAGTAAATTTGACCGCGTTACGGAAGGCCTTCTCCTCTCAGACATCTACCTGGGCAAGTTCGCCGTCGAGCGCGCGAGGAAGTTCGACCACTACTACCACGGCGACTACTTCGTCCACGACAAGTTCTTCTGCCTACGTTCGTGGAGACGCAGAGGGCCCCTGCACCACCGAGGTCTTGGAGCGCCGGCTCGCGCGCCTATCTATACTTCCAGCTGCTCACGGAAACGCGGCCACACCACCTCATCTGTCTTGTCAACCGCTTCATCTACTCGAGTTCTACTGTTTGAGGTCTCGTCGCTATCGCCATGGGCGCATTGGCTGCGTGATGCGGGGGTGGAAGGGCGACCGGACAAGGTGCCTCACTGGGGGCCCTGCTGATCGCGCACCATGTCGCGTCTGGACACGCGAGGTGCATGCTTGGCTGAACGTCCATGCAGGGCGGGCGATCCCATCTCAGAAAGCAGCCGCCCTTCAACGAGGACTACAAGTTCCTGTCCGCGCCATCGCCATGTGCATTCCATCCGCAGTTATCAACTTTGGTGTGGAGGTCGAAGGCAAGAGGGCCGACCCGGCCACGTACTTGCCAAATCGCTTGGCGCACGGGTTTGAAAACTTAGAAGACGAGCGCCAACCGCATCAGGGGTCTGAGTTTATTGATTTTCGAGTCCACCCCAGCGAGCGGAGCGACGGCTCGCTGGCGAGGTGGGAGACCGCCCGAGTGGAGGCGGACAGTGCAGGCTTCGTGCTCGATATTCCCCATTGTTTATGACGTTGGCATGAGCCTGGCACGTCCCGCCTAGTGAAGTAGTCTCAGCTCCAGCCGCTCAACGGCATGACGCTTCGGGCGGCATATTGCCGAGAACATGCCGTGGAATTTCGCGCAGCTGACGGGGGCAACCGCACCCGCGTCGCGGGCGCCTACCTGCCAGGCGTCGACGGGTCACAAGACGCACCTGCAGGAGCCCCAGCTGCAGGGTCCTGGACGACTGCCGCCCCAGGACCACGAGGTGCTCCATGAAACTTGACCACCTGGGCACCCCAAGTGTTTGCGACGACGCCCGCGGCCACACCTACGGCTGCTTGCTGGGGCAACCCAGTTGAGGATGACGATAGCGGCGCTGATGATGATGCTGCGTCGTCGAAGTGTGAATCCGGCTGTGCTTGGAATACTGTGGCAGACTTACTTGAAAGACAGCGCCCAATAGTTGTTCTATCTCGAACAATGCCAAAACGGCCCTCGGCGAAGCCACGCGCGCGTGCCAGCGCGCTGGGTTCGACGCGTTTTCCGGAAAACCCTGGCAGGGAACGGCGGGGAGGTCGGGGAGGACGTCGTCGCGTCATTGGAGAGAGGCGCGCAGACCTACGTCACGGCCCTGAACGACGATGCATTTGAAGTCTATGATTTTTGTTGGAGGCCGCGGCAAAGGCCGAGGCGCGGCTCCGCGGAGAACTTGGAATTCTCCGAGTACAACCGGCGAGAACGATTGCATTGTGATGGCCTCCTGCCAGCGCCGCCGATCCAGGGAGCTCCGGATTCGGTGATCTTCGCGGCTCCGCGGCCTCTTCGCCCCCTCGATTCTTCCGGTACTCTTCCTTCTCCTCTGGGGGGGTGCCCAGAGCGGTCCCGACGGGTCCAGCGAGGGTTCGGAGGTCCCTAAGAGGATTTTGGGTGCGGTAGCGGCTAGATCTGAGGGGGGTCCTTGGGGCCCCCTGAAATATCTTGGGGGTGTGCTATTCATTGAGAAAGCGCCAGATGGTGCCGCCCCCGCGGGGGGGTCTGGATGCGAATATCATGAAGACAACGCCAGATGGGGGACCGCCCCCCCCCCCGCCCCCCTTCCTTCCTATCCCTGGCAGAGCCGCCCTGGCGACCCCCCCAATCAGAGCTGAAGCTTTTGCTCAGGCTCATAGCTGAAACTCTTGCTGAGGCCCATTGTAGCTCGGGCGCCAGATCGGCGGATCTCATGGATGCCACGGAAGAGTGCCTGCATTTGTTTCGCGACGTGATGGGGGCGCCGCGAGATCGCGATTTTTTTTGGCAACGATTGTCTCTTGGGGGCGCGATCAGGCACTTGGGAATCGGGGGGAGGTGGAAAGAAAATGGTGCATCATGGTTCGCGGAAGCTCGACCCAGAACATGAGGTCCCGAAGAGCGCTAGGCGCCATTGCCGCGCCCTGCCCGACTTGAGGCCGAATATGCGCACGGCGTGATTTATAAAAATCGCGGGCGGCGACAGCGACGCGCCGGGCCCAGGCGCCTCGTCATCGATTTATATCGGGAGCCTTGAGGCGGGGGTCGATGCTCACGGGGGTCAGACAGAGCGCCAGATCTTGCAGGATCTTGCAGGGCCAGGCCCCCATGGACCCGGGCTCGGGCGCAGGATCCTGCAGGATCTTGCAGGATCTCTCGCGTTGACCAGGGCTTGAGCGCAGGATCCTGCAGGATCTTGGAGGATTCTGCATTGCCTGGCTGATTTGGGTCTGGATTGACCCGGGCTGGAAGATCCCCGATTATGTTTTGCACCGACGAGCTTCAGATTTTGCGCATGGGATCTCCGGGCAATTTGCCGCCGTCACAGCGCCCATGGCGCGCGATGCCGGGGGCCCGATTGTCGCCGCGCATGAGCGTCAGCTTCTTCGCGCAGTTTGATGCGGGCGCCGCTGAGCACCCGGCCTGCGCGTCGCGGATGCGGCGGAGTCGCTTGCTGACAGATGCGCTGCGTAACTGCGCCCTGGCAAGGAGGAAATGGGACCCCGATGGAGGAGATGTGCACGCGCATGCAAAGCCTGCGCGTCGATTGCGAGACACCCGGCAGGGGCCCTCACAGCGGGCGCACGCGCGCAGGGGGCGACGATTTCGAAGCCAGGAAGACCTGGGATTCAGTGCGACCTGGCGGGCGATCTGGCTAACTGCTCGACGCGCGCAACGACCCCGACGCAGCGCGCGTCGTAAAACTGGCCCGCGACGCGACGGATGGCGACGTGCATCTCGACACTGAGATGGTCCAGAGTATTGCCCGTGGCGCAAAAAAAGTCCCCGGGCGCGCAGGCGACCTCGCATCTGCGCGAGTCGAGGGTGGCCGCTTACAAAACCCACATTGGATTTGCAATATTGCTAGATTTGAGGTATTTATCAATGCCAGCGACCACGGTGAAGCAGCGCCTGCTGCATTGTCCTCGCGAACCGATGCGATGCGTGACAGTGGCGATCTATCGCCGGATGCATGCCCATCGCTTCCTGGCCCGGTTCCTCACGAGCAACGAATGAGGTCCGCGTGCCCACGGCGCCCGCGCCGGGCCCCCAATCGGCGCGCCATAGATCGAACGCGGGCGCGTCAGATGCGCGCGCGCCGAACACATGGCAATTTGCACGCTGCCATACCCAGCCGCTACAGGGGGGACTCGGACCACGAGGACGATGAAACACTGGTCATGATCGACGCTGGAGAAGAAGAGGAATAGTAGTGATAAGAGAAGCATTTCGAGCCCCTCGAGGCGGCCGAGGCGCGCCTCGCCCGGTGCGAGATGCCCCCGGCACGGCGCCCCCCGTCGGCGCGACCACGCCCGACGAAGCCTTTTCATGAGCCGCGAGTTGGCGCGGCCCGAGCGGGACATGCGCCGCGAGAGCGCGAGCTCCGACGTGCCAGTCGATGCAGGTGTCTTTCTTCCCTAGCATGACCATGGAGCTGGGACAGAAATGGCACCTTTGTCAGGCCACTCGAGGACTCATCATGGGAATGCGATCCAGGCAGAAGGTCACAGTTCGATTGGATTTGATCATTATCTGCCCTTGCTCAACGCGCACGAAGGGGCAATCTCTCGAGATCACCGCGGTTGTCGTCATCAATGGGGCGTCAGACATCTGAAGTTAATATATTTCCAGACGCGATGCTATTATGATGGTCTGCCCCGCGGCTCCCACCGTCGCGAACGCCTCCAATGCGTCGCCCCCGCTCGCAGGCAGCTCCGCGAATTTGCGGCGGTCCGGGGCCCGCGGCGAGCGCGGCGGTTTCGCTTGGATCGCTCGCGTAGCGATGCGATTCCAGTCTGGTTTCGGGAGTTGTTCGGGGGGCGTGGGGCGCGGGCCACGGGCGCCCGCGCGTCCGACACAGCAATCGCAGAACGAATGAATCGCTACACCGAAGTTGCACGCATCTGCAACTACCTGCTCCAGATCCCCACTGCGACCCCCGTCCCAAACCGCCCTAGACATCCTATGCGTCATCGCCCCGCATTGCCATCGGCATCATCAATCGGATCGGCTACAGCCGGTTCGTGGAATCACGGTCTGCCGCCGTGCCTCGCGCCCGCTGGCGTTCACGGCTCTCTGCAAAAAGGTTGTTTTATGCCCGTCGCGCTAGCTTTGTCTCGTATGACAAGCCATGCGGGGCCTCTGTTGCATGCTTCAGCCAACGCTTGCCAGGCTGCCAGCTGGCGGCCCCTGCCGATGTCGCCGCGCTCGGACGCGAGCGTGTTGACCAACGTGAGCACTCTGGAGATGACGCACCCCAGGAACGCGCTGGCGTGCGAGCCCCCTAGTGAGACGCGGCGGATCTCGCTGCGCGGAGGGCGGCGCCCTCCGCTCAGCTGCGACTGCCGCCCCTTCGAGGCGACGACCTCGTCGCGCTCGGCCTCGTCGCGAGGGGCTTCGGACGCCGCGGTGTTCAGCGCCTCGAAGAAGACAGGCTCTTTGGCGGCGATTCCAGCTTCGATATAGCGAGCCCCGGCAGGATTGACTAATCTACTGCGGCGTTTCTCGAGGGCGCGGCCCGCCAGCGGCGGGGGCGTTTGCTGCGCATTCGCTGGATGTTTTTGTGGTCGGCTGGCATGTTGCACCTGCGGCATATTCTTGGCTCTGCGAGCTGCGGGCAACGCCCGCTGCGGTGAACTTGTCCTGCGCAGTCTCCATCGCCGTGGCGCCTGGACTGAAGCTCGCGCGGCCTCGGGTTGCAACTTCGCGCGGGTGCGAGGAGCGCATGAAGACACTGGAAACGCCGCGCAGGCGCTCCCCGAATTGTAGCGCAGGGGTCACTTGCGCGGTGTAGGCATTATGATTTGGGAAAGTAGCGCCACAATTTCAGAACATGCGTGTTCCCTGCTGGCGCGCTGCACCGCGCATATAAGGCCAGCAGCAGAGCGCGACTACATTCATCGCAGGCGCTAGTCGTAGAATCCCGCTGCAGCGGAATAAGACCTGACAGCTACTGCAAGTTGCCATGCAATGGAAAACGAAGCGCGACGCAGTTTGAAATGCAATGGACACGGAACGGAATAGAAAACATATCTCATGGCGTGACACACCTAAGACGTCTTGCTGCCCAGGCCTTACGGCCGGTGCCGCCGACTGAAGGGGGACGTCGACGACGACGGCGGGGGTGGCGGCGGCAACGACGACGACGCTGACGTGGGCCCGAGTTTTCAAGGATGGTTCTTGGGATCTCTTGGAATGGCTCTCGGGGACCTTTGGGGAGGAATTGTGGGGTTTCTTGGGGGCCTCTTGGTGACCTTTTTGGGAGCCGTTTCGGATGTCTGGGGGGACTCTTGTGGGCTTCTTGGGGCCTCTTGGGAACCTCTTGGTGGGGGCGTCTCGGGACCGCGCGGGGACCGCGCGACGGTTTCGGAATCGCGCGGGGGGAAGGAGTATCTGGGTGACGAACCCCCCCTGAAACCCCTCCGGGGCCGCCCGTGTTTTTGTTAGGTAATCGGTGGTCGACCTGAAACACGTAAACCATCGAGTACGTCCGCGAACAAGTTTTGGAACCACGCGCCAGTCAGCTGGTAACCACTTAAGTAGTTAGTTAAGTGGGTTGCACGTGGCTCAGACAAGTAGGTTGCAGCTCACTCTGCTGAGTACCCGGCTACCTCTATAACCTGTTCGTAGCGTCTGGTCAGCGAGCAACCTTTTACCGCAAATGGCATGGGCATCTCAGCGGGGACGGACAACTTCTGCAATGGAGAATCTAGGCCTCTTAGATGGGGTCCGAGTCGATGGGGTCGGAGGACTGCGCCGCATCAGCGATCGATGCGGCTCGATGTGGAGCCCGTGTTTTCCCATGCCGACGTCACCGATGCATCGGCGATGCGTTGGCGATGCGGTGCGATCCTTCGACCCCATCGGCTCGGACCCCGTCTAGGAGGTCCCTACAGGGTCCGGCTTGAATAAGGAACACTTGTTTTTCAAAAGGGGTTCGGTCGTTCCTTTGGTTTGCATGCGTTCCGCTACCTTCTTGGCGGCGAACCCCTCTGGCGTTCCTTCGAACTTGATAGACTTACTTGGAAAAAAGGGGCTTCGTTCCTTATTTATCGTTCCTTAGATCAGGCCGAATACTGTAATTGATTCGCCGTGTCCGTGAGAAATGCGTAGAATAATGATCGTAGGTCTACAAACATGCCAGGTTTGATCCCACGACGAACTCGCTGTGCGGGCAAGGCAATTCTGTGGTCGATCCCGTGTTCGCATCGCTTCGCTGGGGAAGTCCACTCGGACCCCCATCCAGGAGGCCTGTAGAGAAAAATCCTCGCGTCGGAGCTCGGGCCGCCGCGCCGCCGTCGGCCCCAGACCCCCGACGTCATGGTTTTTCCATGGCGCGACCCCCAGAGGTCTCGACCCAGTCTCCAGGACCAGTCTCTCGTCCGGAGTCGGTTCTTGATGGCCCCGAGGGCCAGCAAGGGGCCCCAAAGGCCGAAAATAGCGAACAACCTCCCGTCGTGATTTGTTCATGTCTCGAGGGGGTTTGGGCCCCCCCCGCCGCGCCGCCGTCGGCTCCCCCCAGGAGTCAGGAGGGGAGAAGCCACACAGACACAATTAATCGTCGACTCCCCAGAAAGCATGGGAAACTATGGGAAGTGGTGGTTAAGATAAAAACCCAAAACATATGGGTAAATATCGGGGATCCTCTTATTTGTGTGTGTATCTCTGTGTGTGTTTGTGTGCCCCAGGGCCCCGCCCGAGGAGGACAGGGGCCCCCAGAGGCCGAAGATAGCGAAAAACTTCCCGTCGTGATTTCTTCATGACTCGAGGGGGTCTGGGGGCCCCCCCCGAGGGGGTCTGGGGCCCACGCGCCCGCGCCGAGCGCCGCCCCTCTCGTGCCCGCGGGGTCGCGGCCGAGGAGGAGGAGGAGGGGGAGGAGGAGGAGGAGGAGGAGGAGGAGGAGGAGGAGGAGGAGGAGCAGGAGAAGGAGGAGGAGGAGGAGGAGGAGGAGGACGACGACGACCACTGCACGAGGCGGACGTGGAGGAGGAGGAGAAGGAGGAGCTCGGAGCCCCCCCGAGGAGGACCGGGGCTTCCTCGTGGCCCCGAAGCGCAGGGCGCCCGGGCGCCGGCCGCTGCTTGCCGAGGCCCGCGCGGCGGGGCCCGGCGCGGCGCCGGGCGCCGCGGCGCGCGCGGCGCCGCGGGAGGGCGCCGTGCAGAGGCCGAGGCCCCCTCCGCCTACTCCTCCTCCTCCTCCGCCTCCTCCTCCTCTCCTCCTCCTCCTCTCTCTCCTCCTCCTCCTCCTGCTCCTCCTCCTCCTCCTCCTCCTCCTCCTCCGCTCCTCCTCCTCCTCCTTCTCCTCCTCCTCCTGCTCCTGCCTCCTCTGCTCCTCCTCCTCCTCCTCCTCCTCCTCCATCTCCTCCTCCTGCTCCTCCTCCTGCTCCTGCTGCTGCTCCTCCTCCTCCTCCTCCTCCTCATCCTCCTCCTCCTTCGCCTCCTCCTCCTCCTCCTCCTTCTCCTCCTCCTCATCCTCCGCCTTCTCCTCCTCCTCCTCCTGCTTCTCCCCCGCCTCCTCCTCCGCCTCGTGGGGTCGAGCCTCGAGTGCAGTCGGGCGCGTATCTCTACAGGAGGAAGATTCCAAAAACAGGCAAGGCAACTACCCTGGGGTCGAGCCCAGAGTCGTGGAAGTCGAATAATGGAGAGGAAGCATGCTGCCAAATAATTTCCAGATGTCTAGGACATGTGTTTAAACTGATCATTTATATATTTACACGTGTTTGAAAGCATTTTCAGACATTCTTCTGACATTTTAACACATACTTAATTCGATGATAGGAGTTAGGATGTCCATTGTCGTGGCATCCACAAGCCCAGAGTGAAGTCGGGCGCGTCCCTCTACAGGAGGAAGATTCAAAAACAGGCAAACCAAATACCCTGGGGACTGTTTTGGGGGGTATTTTTGGGGGACACGCCCGACCTCTAAGCACAGAGCCGGCGGCGAGGTCCGATTCTACATTGGCGCCTTACTACATTGGACCCCCTGAGCTCCAATCCAAAGAAAGCGCCCTAATAAACTGGACCCGCCCGGTTACAGGAAAGGCGCCTTAAAAAATTGGACCCGGGGGGCGATTCATATGGGATTTGGAGCACCCTCGCCGGTCAACGGTTCAGGCAACTCGATGGGCGGCGGGGGTAGGGTGCGGAATTCGTGGAGCACGCGGCGGGATCCGAGCCCTATACACCTCCACCCCCATCGATATTCAGGGCAGTCGATGGTGGCAGGGGTAGGGTTCGGATGTTGCTACGTACAGCGACCCAACGCACTGAAAAAGCAGGGCCAGGGCGTTTCGCCATTCTCGGTCCAGATATGACCCCAGAGTTGCCCCCCGCCCCCCGCTACTGGGATCTCTTCCCCCCCCGCGAGCCTCGCCCGTAAGTCTCGCGGGGGCCTCGCGGATGGGATCGCTCCCCGCCCCCCCCCACCAGTCATGGGCCTGAGGGCGTGGCGTGGTGGAGGGTGGACGTTTCGCTGCTTCCGCCGACGGCTTTCTGAGACCGAGGTTGCGAGGCCTCGCGAACGGGATCGTTCTGCCCACCCATGTGTTCGTGGCCCTGTGGGCGTGGCGTGGTGGTGGGTATCAGTGCCCCCCCCTCCCCCCTGTGGTCCGTCGTCGTTATCGCCGTTATCGTCGGCGTCGGCTTCGGCGTCGACTTCGACGTCGGCGTCGGCGTCTTCCGTCTTCCGGCGTCTCCGGCGTCGGCGTCGACATTTTCCGTCTTCCGGCGTCTTCGGCGTCGTCGTCGTCGTTTTTCCATTCCATCTGAAGGGTGGTTGTAGAGTTGTGGGGCCCATCCCATCAGGGGGGATGGGGGGGCTGTGAACCCGCGACCCGGGATCATATTCGATGCCCTCGCCAGGAGGGCAGAGGGGGGTCGCAGGATCGCGCCGCACTTGCGATGCATCGGCGATGCTGCTGCGCGTGGAGCTCGCGCTTCACCGCGCCGACGTCGCCGATGCCTCGCAGGCGTCGCAGAGGCCTCGGCGACGCGGCGCGGCACTCGGACCCGACCTGTGCACCCGGGGGCCCCCCCGTGCTTGGGCGGCGTGCATGCCCTGAGGCCCGCCGCGGGCCCGGGGCGGCTGCCGCCGCCGCCGACGGCGCCGGCCTGGGGCTCCTAAGACGAGTCAAGAAGGAGTGAGGAGGAGAATGAGAAGAAGGAAGATAACGAGGAGGGGTAGAAGGAGGAGAAGGAGGTGGAGAAGAAATAAAGAGGGGATGGATGAGGAGGAGGAGCAGCCTGTGAAAGAAGCCCATGAATTTAGTACAGGAAGTACATTTTATCTCTTACCAAGATGCGGGTGTTCCCAGAGATCCGACGCTCTCACAGAAAGATGAGAGCGGGCGGTGTTCGACCGTGTTCGGCTTCGGGGCCCCTCGCGCCGGGCCTCGGGGCCGTGAAGAAACGGCCCCAGGGTCCTTTGGGAGGTGGTCCGGACCTCCAGGGCCCCCGCATCGGAAGAATTGGAACAGCTGGACGTCTGGGTTGCCACTGTTTCACACCAGGCGTGCTCGCCCAGTATTGCACCCTGGGGCCATCCCGGCTCGAAATATGCCACAGAAAGACTTGGCCTAGGGCTCCGGCCGTGATTTTTCGCGGCGTCGCATTTTGCTCGTGAGGTCGGATCTGGAGGAGGAACGTTTGCTTGGCGTGTCGCGCCGCCGGTTCTGGCCCACCGCCCTGCGGCGCGACGCGCTGACCGCGTTCCAGTCATCATGCGTCGCCGTTCTGGGTGCTGCCCAGCCTCCCGTCCCGCGAAGCGCAGCGACACGCTGCCACCTCGCATGGCACGGCGTGTCTCAGGGGCCGCCGCCGCGACACTCTAGTCAAGTGACCAAATGTTCCAAGGTTCCTGACCGTACGCCGCAGGGGGCGCAGGCTCAGATGGGAGCGCCTCTGCCCCCCCATCGCCCATCCCTCGCCGACAGTGGCCTGACTGCTCAGCAGCGTGCATGTTTGCCATCGGGGTCCTGATAAGAGATGAGTCGGCGATGTGTACGGATTCCAGGTCTGTGCTTCTCCGTGTCGTCATCCCCCCCGTTCGGCCTCCCCTCAACGACCTTCCTTGTTTCAATTCGGATCAGGTCTTTGCGTGTTTCCTCGGTTTCGGCCTCACGGGGCCCACCATCAGGCGCTGGAGCCACCAGAAAGTTGACCCGGGACGAAAGGGCATCCCAGGGGAAGGGGTCGGGGACGCGGCTCACCCCGACGGTTGGCTTGCGGTGCCAGTTGGGGCCCATCCCGGGGCAGCATAATCATTGCAAATTCACGACGGTGCGCACGCGTTACAGAGAGAGAGAGAGAGAGAGAGAGACACAGAGACAGAGAGTGAGAGAGAGAGAAAGAGATAATGAGAGAGGCAGAGAGACAGAGCCTTGTGATCGGCCCCCGTGCAGGGCTCCCAGAGCGGCGCGGAGGACGACGAGGGCCGCGACGGCGACCCGGGCGAGTGGTGCCACCAGGCGGCGCCCAGCCGCCCGCTGCTGCGGTGGCGGCAGCCCACGCTGGCCCGCCAGGCGCAGCAGGCGCCGCCGCCGCGCGCGGGGGGCCCGGCCCGCCCCGGCGCGGCGGTGCCAGCCTGGGCGCGGTTCCCCGGCGAGCACGGGGGCACGCGCTTCGGGGGCGATGGCGGCCCAGGCGACGGGTCGGACCCGTGGGCGCCCCTGCCAGGGGCGTCGTTCGAGAGCGTCCACATCGAGTTCAAGGACGCCGGCGGCGGCCCGGCGGAGGAGGAGGCCAGCACGTGCTCGGGCGAGGAGGCCGAGGACGAGTCCCTGCTGGTCGAGCTGGACGCGGAGCTCGACGCGATGAGCACCGAGGTGGTCACAGGTTACCGCGCGGACGTCGGGGCGGGCTGCGGGCTGCCCGAGGACGACGGGCTCGAGTCGGAGGACGAGGCCACGAAGCCAGGACGAGACCACGACGCGCTCGAGGCGGTGGACGGCGGCGGGCGCGGGCAGGAGAGAACGAGCGGGAAAAGCTGCATGAACATTAGCTTCAGGGGCTTCGCGCAGGCTTTTTGGATCGGCGCTGGGCCCCGGTGGCGGGCTCCGCGCACCAAGGAAGCCCGCGCGGAGCTCAAGAGTCCTTGGTTCTGCAGCTTTTCCTTCCTCTAATGAAGGAGAGGCGCCTGCTCCTCCGGGCGGGGCTTCTCCAGAAGTGGGCCGCGCCGCACACGCCGCCCGTTACCCACATCATCTTCGTCGTGCACGGCATGGGTGCCACTGAGGAGGGCTTGCGCAAGAACGTGCGGGATCTCAGTGCTGGGCTGTCTGCGATGCAGAAGTACTGGTTCTGGCATACTAACATCAACACCCACGTGGAGATGATCGATTGGAAGTCCACCGTCAAGGCAACCCAAAACTCGATCTTCGAGCGGATAACCCCAGGAGACGCACGCAGTACACGAATGACTCTGAACGCGACCTTGAGTGATGTCATTTTCTACAAGACCCCGCACCACCGCTCAAAGATTCACGATACCGTGGCCCAGAAGATGAACACCCGCATTAGGATGCTGCGCTCGGAAACAAGTGGTCGGTTTGCGGAATCGCGCGTCTCCATCGTCGGCCATTCTTTGGGGTCAGTGATAGCGCACGATGTGCTCACGCGCGCTGGCGGTGACGAGGCGTCTGCCTTGGAGTTCGAGGTGGACAGCTTCTTCCTCTGGGGCAGCCCTCTTGCAGCCTTCGTCTCGATCTCGGACGCAGAGACCACGGCGGGCCAGGGCAAATTCACGTTGCCGAACACGCTGGGCG